TATGGAACAGTCTTCCCTCTGAAATACGCATGGCAGATGAATTAAATACATTTGTAAAACTGCTAGATCAAGCCCTCACTTGCACAGAACTAACACAAACAAACACATCTGCGTCCAACTCAGACATTATAGGCTCTGTACATTTATAGACCGAATTGCCTTGCTTTTCCTACTTTGCACTTGTATTACTTACTTTTTCCACTGTATTTCTTCACTTGAATTAGACAGGTAACTCACTGAACCTATTGATACTGTCCAACTAAACTCGGTCGCTGAGGGAAACTCACTACCACCCTAAAAAGTCAAAGGGACCACACAATCGACTGCCTACTACCAATGGTCTTGCATCTATGGAGCCTGTTACCCATCAACTGGTTAGGACAACACAAAATAACATCAGCATCAAGTTAATGTGAGTTTCTTCCTGTTTATTATTTATTAGCTTTTTACTGTTTTGTACACTATGTTGACTAGCAATTAATATTATTTATCCACTCGTTACCCTATTTACAACTCATATACTCCTATACTTTTCCGCCTGCTTTAATAAACAACCATCCTACATTGTACCTTTCTTAATGCTTATACTCTGATTGGCAAACTATACTTTATGCTGTAGTCAATTAAAACATTGCGTCGATGCCTTACAGTCCATAACTTGTAACTGCCTGATAAGCTTGTAAAATGGTACTTATAGAAATAGTGTTTTCCAACAGGATGCGAAACACAGAGGATTGTGTGAGGTATGACTTATATTGAAAAATAAGCTTAAATGAGCCTAACATCACACAGAACATTCCGAAGTGAACCTAAGCGCTGACTTGGTATTCCGGAAACTGCAGCACTTACGATTGGACACTTCTCCTTCCCCGGACATTGTCCATTCCGCCATACTTAAGGAAGCAGCCTCAATCTTGGCAACGCCGCCTAGCGTCATGTCCTCACATTCGCTAAATCGAGGAAAACTACCGGAAAATTGGAGGCTGGCTCACATCACGCTAATTTTCAAAGGAGGTCGATGCAGAAAACTTCAAGTTACCGACCGGTGGCTCTTCTCTCCATATCCTCAAAAATCATGGAGTCCCTGATATGCGATGGTATAAATGACTATTTACTGTCTTTAAATTTCTTCTCACCCCAATAACATGATTTCAGGAAGGTTAACTCTTGTACTACCAACCTGCTGACTGCATCCTTGATCACAAGGGGACGGTTGATATCATCTACCTAGATTTCTCAAAAGCTTTTGATAAGGTTAACCATACATATCTTGTCAATAAACACAAACGGTTGTATATTGAACCACCTCTAATCGATTGGCTCACTTCATACCTGAAAAATCGACATTTTAAGGTCAGGGTTAATTTCACTTTATCTCAGGCTATGGAATGTCCTAGTGGGGTCCCCCAGGGCTCAGTACTAGGGCCTCTTCTCTTCTTCATCTGCATAAATGATCTTCCTCAACAAGTAACGTCAAACTTATTACTTTTTGCCGACGACGTGAAACTTTGGAGAGAGAGATACGCGACCAAGACGATATACAGGGACTTCAGGAGGATCTGACTCCACTTCAAAGTTGGGCAGACGATAACGGACTTACCTTTAACACTTTGAAGTGTAAAGTATTCCATCTGCGACATGTCGAAGACTACAGTTATAACTTAGGTACCTCCTCTCTACTAGTATCACAAGTCGAAAAAGATTTAGGAGTCTTGGTGCCCGACGATCTAAAGTCTTACGCTAACTGTGACAAAAATGCCTTCCGAGCAAGCCTTGCACTGGTAACATTGAAGCGCATTTTTGGCCAGTTTGACGGAAGAACTTTCCATATAATCTTTAATAGTTTTATCCGTCCCCATTTAGAGTACGGAAACATAGTATTTTCTCCCTCATTCCACAAGGATAAAGACACTCTGGAGCGTGTCCAACGGCGAGCCGCGAAATCAGTTCGAGGACTCAAATTCAAGCCTCATGAAGAGCGCTTCTAATCATTTAAACTTTACCCATTAGAGTATAGGCGTCTTAGAGGTGACCTTCTGCTGGCTTACAGTATCCTTAACACTTATGGACATCTTCTCAAACACCTACTTAAGCGTAGTCCCGATAAACCTCATGAGGTAACACCCAAAAACTGGAGACACAACATGGCAGAACGGACTGTAGACACAACTTCTACCCACTAAGAGTTGTCAAATGCTGTAATTAGCTGCCGGCTGAGCTAGTCCAAGCGAATTTCCAAGAGTCCTTAAAGAGGCGACTTGTTCTATTTTGAAGGACTTAGGATAATATCTTACTATGATCTACCAATTTCTTTTCACTCTTTTATCGTTAATACACCTAGGTTCCTGCCTGGAGGATTTGGTGATCCTCTGCTACTGGACACGGAAGCCTGTTACGCGAAAGCTTCTTCTATTCCTTCCACAACCATTTAAATCCCGGGCGGGCAGGTTAAACAACACGGGTAGCGCACCAATTGGACTTCGTGGTGACTTACACATTTCCAGCCATGAACCTATTTAAACTCTGCAGGACTGTTTCTTATCGTTCGTTTTATAATGTTTTTTCAAAACCATATACGCAAATGGCAACAAATTTGGGAGCAGATAAGGATTTAGTCCCTCCTTCCTTTAGTGCTGATAATAAGGAGTATCCAAAACACATACATGAGATTGTAAATCGTATCAGTTCCCTAACATTATTAGAAGTTGCAGACTTGTCAGAACTGTTACAAAAAAAGTTAAACATCAAGGTGAGTTTGTAGTAACAAATAACGAAGTAACATAATTCTTTCACAATGATCTGAAGTCTTTGTATGAAGCATGCTGCCCCGGCCAATTTTGTTTTTTAAAGACCTACTTGCCAGTATTTTTGATCTTAAGACTCAGGTACTTAAGGAATCATCTATGTCTTTGGTGTAAGCTCTTCACCACATTGTTGATAGGGTGATGTGTTTGTCTATTTATATTCGTTTTACTATCGTTCGGCAGTTATTTTCTATCGTTTGGTTAAAGTCACGGTGGTATTTTGCTTGTCTTTCGTTATACCGAAAATTGGACGCACCAACTATGTTTCGTCTCTTTTATACATACACTCCCTTCAAAGATATGTTAGTTTTGCATAGTTCATACTAGTTTACCCTTATAGAGTTTTCCACACGTTATCCGTAAATAGTTCTTATTGTATCTAAGACAAATAACGGTAAGAATAACATTGTATCGTGTACATATACCAAACACTCATTTGGTGATTAAACCGCTGTGTTGCAGATGACTAGCTGGTTTCAATGCTGTCCGAAATACAGCATAGCTTCTCGAAAGCTCAGGAAGTAATAAGGGAGAGTGTTAACGGATAACAGGTAATATATAAGGATTTACGATTCGTGAATGTGCTGAGTAGTGCCAAGAACATGTGACCTCGTTATACAGTATGTCAGACGAAAAACTAACAATAATCAAAAGTGTGAAGAACAAGGAAGATCGGAAGACAAACTTGCACAAAGGCAAGTGATATTTGGCATAGTTTATCGTAGAATCTTCGATTCCAAAAGAATGTTTGGGTGCTTTTCATGACTCAGGTTACAATAACTACTTGAAATTGCGAAGTATTAAGTTTGAGAGCATTAATAACAGACCATCGTACAATGCTTACTACGGGAAGACCGGTGTAAATGAATAAAAACCATTCACATACCTAATAGAAGTGCTCTTTGCAGAGAATGGCCGATCACGCAGAGTAGAGTAAAAAATAGGAGGGGAAAAAACATTACCTTATGGTACACCCGTTTAAGCTAGTAATGAAGTAAAATATTTCCCTCCAAATACAGCATACTGTTCTATTCCAGAGAAGTAAGAACGCAGCCAGTTGGTTATCCAGTTCTCAGTGTTAACGTTGGTGACCTTGCTTGGTGTTAGTGGTATTGAAACGGAATCGAAAGTGACAGAAGTCTCGAAATGCACATCGAATATAATTCCCACCCTTTACGAGGCTAAGCACTATGGTGTAATGCAGAACCAATAGCAGTATCTAGGGTACTTCTTTCACATGTATAAGCAAACTAATATGGGTCGGTAGGCTCATCCGGTTCAAGCCAAAGTGTGAGTAGTAGTTTCTCCATCGTCCTGAGGAAAGGTAAACTTATTATCACGGTTTTAAACTTAGAATCGCTATCATCAGATACATTCTTGGGTATTGGGATTATTTTCATTATCCCCATCGTAAGTACAAAATTAGTAAAGGATAATTCCTTAAAGGTGCTCGTAAATGGGTGAGAAAGAATATAAACACATTTTAAAAGGTTTAGGGTTTCGCTAGGTCCTAAACATTGCGAAGGGTTAATTGAAATCTTAGAACATGAGTTTCAATGAAACTTGCTACTTTCCCTCAAAATTGGAGAAACAGGACAAAACATTAGATGTTCGACGTGTAAAAGACTTATTCAAACCATAAATAGTAGGCTAAATGTCATCATTAATGCAATCGTTACCTGTGGGTTCCTCAAATAGTTCCCACATATTTGAAGGGTTTTTACAGGTCCCTGAGCATAATCACTTTCAGATTTCTGGTTTCTTGGCTTAGACTTTTCAGTCTTCAAACTTCAGCACAGTTCTTCTTGTTCATCCATTTCTCACTGAAGGGTTTTCTACTGATCTAAGCAATCTAGCTGGGGATTGGACATTATAGGTCATCAAAAACTCCCAATTCTGTTGTGTACCCTAACCCCCATCCAAGGATTCGCATTGTAACATTAGTATAATCCATGTAGTGTTTCACCGCTTAACACTTTTGTGTACTGCTATTGAGCTGTGCTTGTATTACTTTATTTACTTTTTCCTATCAGTCACTTCGATCATATCTGATTTTTTCTTAATGAAGCACTCATACTGTAGGTAATTATGCTCAAACTATTCCATCCCTTTTAGTGCTGTGCCCTGATTTAGGTGGTTTAATTGCAGAGTGTTCAATGTCGTCTTGGGCAACACCATTTCATCCCTTTTTCTTTTGTGTCTATGTAGAATGCCGGGCCCATGATGCCTATGATGGTTCAAGCGCCAACAAACCAACCTCCCGAAGAGCTTGAAGAACAACAAGCGCCTACGAAAACAGCATTTTCAGTCAAACTAGTGAAATTTGATGCAGCAAAGAAAATTCAACTTATTAAAGAGATCAAACAAGTTATTCCAGAGATGAATCTTGTACAAGCTAAAAAGTTTGTAGAAGTAAGTTCAAGTTAGCAGTTGTTTAATTTTCGACACCTTATCTTATGGTGTTTATCAGTCCGTGTCTGCCTGCTTCTTTACGTCAGTACAACGGTAAGAAGTGAGTGTAGTGTACATAAAGTTAAGAACAGTTGTAAAAAGCTGTATATAAAAGCAAAAATGACAAGCAAAATCGGGGGAAGAGCAGCTTGGAATGTTGTTTAGGGCCTGCATATAGTTAGTGTGAATGTATGTGTAGCCAACTTTGAGTCATATCATCTAGTCCCCGATACAAGGGTGATAGCTAGTGAATTGCGCAGGGATGATGTAACTAGGCATGCGTAGCACATGCCTCAACTACCTTGTCAGTCGATTAGGCACTTTTATTTAATTACTTTATTATGTAGAAAAGCGCACATTTATATTGTCAAGTATTGCTATTAATAAAAAAACGAGTAACAGTTGGATGCACTAGACAACCACTCTAGATTTAAAAGTACCCACCCACCTAGTTTTTTTAATATTAAGGCCGCTAATTCGCTTTCCTAAGTACACTCAATGACGTTATATTTACACACTGCTAGCTTTAAAAAATTGATAACCTTAATTATGTCTTTTAGAGTGCGCCTGCCAATATAAAGACTGACGTGAGCAAGGACGAAGCTGAGCAAATAAAGAAAGTATTGGAAGAGGTTGGAGCGTCTATTGCAATTGAATGAACAATATCATACACAAACAAAAAATAGATACTTCCCGAATTAAAAATTAATAGTGCATTGTTGTTATCAAATATTAGATACTCCTCTCAAAGCCAGGTACCCATTAACGATATGCTGAGGCAAATTACGTATTCTTTTAAACTCGGAACAAGTTGCATAATTTAGTTTTGTCAACGGATCTGTATAAGCGGTTGGTATCCCACTTAAATCAGAAACTTTCATAGGTGGACAAATGCATGGTGGTGCATTCAGATGATTGTAAAGAACAGCATCTGGTGAATAGCTAACCTGCAGTTGAAAACAAATGAACATTAGTCTAGAAAGTAATAGATTTAATAGCGTGTTAGTTTATTTATTAGAAAGTGGGTTTCGGCGATTGTATGGGTGAACGGTAATCTACATACCGCCCACAACAGAATCACTATGAATTCATGACCTAATAATGAGTAGTTGAATACCCAAACCACCGGTGGATCGTCTTACGTGGCAATGTTTTAACAAGCTTTCGTCCCAGATTGTATTAACCGATAGAGTATATGTTCTCCGCAACAACAGAAATGAATAATCGGGAGGAAAATTCTCAATGGGAGTTACCGCAACAAACAATAAGTCGGGGTCGATGCAGATAGTATGTTCAATCGAGTTTACATTGGTCGGGTAGGCACGCATGTTATAAGTCAATAGTCTTACTTAGCAAATGCGAAGCATCACGATACTCTTAAAGCTGTCACAGGAAACTGTATTTTGCTAGTGTTAGCCTCACATCACTATGTCGGTCAGAGATTAATTGTAGTAGAACCAGAGGTTGACAGACACTTGCTGATAACTTCATAATAGTTGCATAGTCTGAAAGTTATTTTACTTACACAGGAGCGAACAGGTACAAAAATTAGCCCTCAAAACATGAGTACACACGAATTTGATATACTGGAACGTACTTATTCATTTAATTACACTGATTTATTGAATCGCCATATAGCGCAGTAGACAGTAATTCTCTCATGTTCGTAATTTCATAGTTAATCAACATGAATATCCTAAAATCAGCGTCGTTTATGGGTCAATAAATTCCCATATTTTATGTTACGCTAACTCAACAATACAAACGAGAATTTGTGACGTTACTTTCAAGATTAGATAGATTAACTATGTTACTAGATACTTCATAACATAGACTTCTCCAGCTTAGTTTTGATGCTTTTTGCGTAACAGATAGAAGTATGAGTCATAAGAGAAAAACAAGCTTAGTTCCACTACATTATGGTTTTCAGATGAAAATGAACTGGATGGATTTATGTATAAATTGATGCAACTGTTGAGTGTTACATATGACTAACATATAAGCAAAAGTTCTGTGTGGATTTAATAACTAATTTGCGACAATATTTTAAAGGACAACCCACCATGTGAGCACTTAAATTGGTTGATTTATCAATCTAATCTAGGTACAAACTCATGAATCTAGATAAATTAGCTAGACTACTTATACAATGTTCGCGTGTAAGGAAATGTTACACAACAAGAATTTAACCTGCTTAAAACGCATTTCTTGATAATTAAAAAGCAATGCGTGGCTACAATACAATTGAATGGCTAATAAATTTGACTTTTACAACAATATCTGCAGACAGCAGAAGTACCTAGTCTCAGTGCTATCCTCGGCCAGAAATCCAGTTAATTTCGACAGGAAACAATTCCTTATTCCGACATCAGAGATATTAGTGTTTGAGCGAAAGAATATTCCAGTGCAACGACAATAAGCTTATCAGCTCTATGGTGCATAATAAAGTAGATTTTAAGTACTGATCATACTACCTTATGCAAGAAAAACAATCCAGTACTACGGAGAGCTGATATAGTTACAACTTATTAAAATTGACAAACATCCATCTTTTATTGGTAAGCGTTTGGTTGAGATAGGTAAAAGAAATAGCTTAGATTTAACCTCTCTAATTTTATGCCGAAGTGATCTGGGGTGGTGCTTGGATTTGTTGGAAAGTCAAACTAAGAAAACTTTAATCGTGTTTACGAGTAGTTGATACTTGCGCTAAACATACCCTGGTAATATAGGCTTCAATGTAGCATCTAGAGTGGCGTACCCTACATTCGTTTTTGTTCCGTCTGCTAGTCCGACCTTCCATTTGACGTTTACAAGTTGGTGTGTGATCACTTAATATTTCATCATGCTAAGTCGATCGAATAGTATTGTTATTTTAAATCCATATATCTACCATGAGAAGCAGATATTATTTAGTGCTAGGTGTTTTTATATACGATGGGAAACGCAAATTACTAACTAGAATTTGAAGTGTTAAATATAAATCTTACTTGAGATTCCGCGTTTAAGACCTGTTTGATACCTTTGAAATTTGTTTTCTTTCGCTCGAACTGTCTGGAACTATTTTGTTCTGGGACTGCCATTTTGATACAGTGAAATATCGAAAATAAGTTGGCGGTGTATCTGGAACAAGAAGAGATATCCACCTATTAAATTTTGGATGAGAGTTTTAAAACGAAATTGAAATCCTTATTAATTCGCAGCCAATTTAAGCACCCAAGATAGCCAACAGTGTTCACACTAAAAACCCAAGTTTAGTGCTGATACATCCGATAATTTTAATAACCTAATGAGTTTATTGCAAATAAGGTCAAACATATCTTATACTCTTAAACGTATAGATGCCTGGCGCCCCAAAACAGGGTTAACATTGTGAAGTATTAATGGCAGAAACAAAGAGTGCAATACGACGATGCTTACTGGTAAACCAGTCCAGAACAGTGTTGCTGAATGTAAGTAGTGGGTCAACACCTTTTGGTTAAATGCACTTAAGACATCTTATCCTGGAGAACCAAAAAGATTTGTTGATATTGATAGATTCGCCACATTGAAGTTTGATTGTTGAACCTAGAAGATAACTCAGTCTAAGGCAATATTGTTTTTTCTTCAATTTTATAGAGTTGGCTACGTATTACTTCAACTCTTACCCAAAACAGCCGCTGGAAATGACTTGTCCAGATGACGTTTCCAACTTCCCATAGAACCCTCGACAGAGCAGAATTACTATAGACATGGAGTATCCGTTAAAATCATTTACTTATTTAAACATAAATTATTCGGTTTATTTGAAGGCTAGGATACTGCCCTGGTGCCCAAACCGAAGCAGGTGGTTTTCTTAGGGGACTACACTCCGGGCTTCTGACCTACAGGTCTAATGCACAAGGAAGCGCAGCAACGTGAAGAGATGAAGTCCCATGGTAGCCGGTGGTCAACAATTGACTCATACGCCATTTGTTCCCTCACGATCCTGGAGCCCATGTGCACCATTCGTTTAGAATCAGGGTTTTCCGATTCCCCTACATGGATCCTACATATCCACCAGCCCGGTTGAAGCACCAGAAATTCGCATTTTGTCCTCTCAATTTCGTAAATAACACCCCTGTTGCGGGAAGTCATTGAGTATGACTTCCCTGGAGGTGGTTGTATGCACGTGGCCATGTGAGGGCATTTTAAGAGCTGCGTCTCCCCGCTCTCGGCCGAACCAGGGCATTTGGGGTTAGAATCATATTGAAGCTACAATCGATGGCATGACCTAATCTGTAATGTGTGACTGAATGTACATCTACTTAGAAACTCATTTTACACTTTGAGGTCACTGTATTAGCAACATTTATAGTTTAATAAATACCAGTTACATAATTTTTCATAATTGGCTATATTTTTATGGTACAAATTAGAGTACTGCATACACTACATTATGACTGACCCATCGGCATAAAACTCTTTAAAACATTTTGTTGAAGGATTTACACGGACCTTGTTTGCCGAAGGTTTTGTACAACCCCAACTGACTCATATATCAGGGAAGATCGCATAGGATAATGTATTTCGCATAATTGGAGTCCCTTGTTAACAATACCGCTGGAATAGATGTGGGTCAAACGCACAATTTCACTCCTAACTGGAAATCGATAGGTGCAATATGACATTTTTGGTATGATAGAAATTAGCAGACCACTGACTGATCACAGTATATTTTGAAGGAAGAGATCAACGGAAAATCAATCCCTAGAATTAGAGCACTTTATCAGTAACTACTAAGTGATATCCCAATCCAATTGTTTCTAACTGTATTGACTAATGCAGACCTTTTTCTGTGCGATAGATAGTCGTTTACCGACACTACGCAAATTTTGTGCAAGTGACTTAAATTTATAACCGCCGGGAAAACAACAAATTACGTTTTGTGAACATTCGAATGTTGTTCCTGCTCTACTGCGATCACTAGTATCCAATAACATCGAGACCTTTCCTTAAGAACTACACACTGCACCTTGCAAGAGGTTTAGTACGGAAGATTACTAAGCAGAAAAAAACAAATAAAGGTATAGATTGAATATAATTACCTACATTAATGTAGGTGCTTTGGTAGCGTGCGTGAGGAAAGCTGCAAGAGCGATTGATAAAAAAATATTGAGGTGTGACTATAATTTACGAACAACCCTTAAGCGACGCTGAAATTACATAAGCTATAATGCCAAAACTCTATTCAGACAAATGTATGGATGAATTTCGCGCCGAAGTTCGTGACTTGTTAACATATATCTAATTTGTTCGTCCATAAATTACAGTCTGGACAATGTTGGTTTATAACTTGGTGAACGCAAAAAATGCACTTATATTTAATAGACGAAGTTAATACAAAACGACTAGCGGTAAAAGTAAAAAATTACGGACAAAAAACCACACTTAAGTCAATCCTGCCTCCATGACCTAGAGTGGCGTTGTTCAAAGAGTTGTTTGAGTGCATCCTAGCTTTCATTCATTACTGGGTTTTCACAACTAAGTATTTTGTAAAAATTAAAAAATCCTAAAAACGCCGCTTAAGATCATTTCTGGTGAGTTATCTCTCTTCTCTAGTGCAATCACAGATATTGTTTTCGAGTTATTGCCTTTTGAAAATCTGCAATTCTACAAGCGTAATTGAAGATCGTATGAAACTCTAGAAATTTCCGACTATTCCCCTTAAAATTTCCGCAGAATCTTACTACACTTTGCGAAAATCGGCTTATATTTATGAACAAAACCCCAACATTTTTCACAATTTTCAGGAAATTTTGCGTCTTTCCCGAAAATTTTCACTGATTTCTGCGCTTTTCCCCAAAAAACTGCCATGATCTTATTACAGTTTTTGCAAACTTGTTTGCACGCAATACTTCTCAACAGATTTTTACAGATATACGGAAAAGTCAGGCGAGAATGAGTACCTATAGTTTTTACTGCGATATTCCATTATTTTAAGTCAATTATGCAGAGAACGCAGTGCCAAAGAAACTTAACGTTAACCGATCTATCGCTGTAATTAAAAGACTGATTCGTGACACATTGAAGTTTTTATTACGGTTTATAAAATTACAAATCATTGATTTATACATTGCTTTGTAATGTAAGCACGTTCCGTAAACGTTGAACTATCATTCACGTCAATGACGTACCAACGGTGTAACAATGTTGTTAATAATGCGAACAAAAAACTTACACTTACGTCTGTTAAAAGTTGCGCAGCCATCTGAAAGCAATATGGACAAGAAATAATTTTTTACTGACAAGAAAAAAGGTGTTTAGGTATAAAAATTGATCACAAATTGATATTAAAACTGCAATATGTATTCAACCAAACATGTAGAGTGCTTTTAACTCACCCTTTCTTTGGATCGCCATCCACTTTTATTTACTTTATCACTTGCGTCATGCAAGAAAGCCTGGCCTGCAAAATCCATGGCGTGTACTACTTCTTTTTCGGGATAGGTTGCACTTCGGAATCGGGAACACAGAACACCTACAAATACATTAATACTGTAGTGTGGACTTACTTTGAATCGTCCGGTAAAATTTGTACTTACTAATACCGGATTTACTTTTCGTTCCGTGTAAAGCGTACGTGTTCGCCAGTTCCGGCAACAACAGATAACTTAGACAGGCTTTTGCAGATATACGAGGGTCATCACATATGAGCACGTACAATCTGGCCACTTAAAATTTGTTCAAACACCTGTTACGACTTACGAACTGATCACGGAACTTCAACTCATATAAAGCAACTTCAAAAGAACGCAACTCCTCATATGTTTTTAATGGGAAAGCAATAGTTCAATTGTCTACTTGGTCGGTACGCCTGTCCATTACACCCATGGATGAGCGTTCATTGAAAGCGATCAGTTTATTTATCTTGCTAGACAGTTCAGTGACTGCTTTCAGAATCATTTTCAGGGTTTTACTGCCATCATTGCACAACCTTTTCTTATCATGTTAACATTGACTCCAACTTACGGTTTATTAACTTCCGTTGATGTACATGGAAGCAGTGGTGAGAAAACCTCTGTTTTTGATGAACTACTTTACGAGCATTGATTAAATAGGTACCTGCTTCGCTATAAGTGAAAAGTTTCCTGTCGAAATGTTGACAACTGGAAAGTCGACCAAGGTGAATCCAGCTTCAACCTCAGCAACATCTAGTTCTTCAAAGTTGCATAGATAATCGTTAGATTTTTGTTTAGCAGCCCTAAGAAAAGTGATTTGGTGAGTTGAACAATTTACCTTCTCGGCTTCTCCGCTTCACACGGTAGCGTTTCATCATCTACTGTAATTTTATTATTGTAACCGAGTACTGCGGTTAAACAGACTTTCATTTCCTCGGCTAAATGTTGTCATCTGAAAATAATGAACTTAGACGATGCAGTATATATATACCGATAGTACTGAAAGGAAAGGGTCAGTATATAAATCTAAACGGTTATGGAATACCCGAAACCCAATTCGGCTTCCATCAGCTATTTGTTTGACGAACCCTGGTTGACCATTGGCGATTACTACATTGTCTGGCCTTGTAGTAGATAACTTTGAGTTTCTGTAAGTGATGATTTCCTTGGATGAATCATAATTTACCTCAGGCTCAGTCAGATTGTCAGCCATATACTGATTCAGTACACTTTGAAAGTAAACTTCTTCGGCATATCGCCGTGCAGCTTGTTTAGCCGTAGCAAATCCGCAACGTATTGAAAGCTTAATTTCCCTCATGTATTATTCAAAAAGGAAGGCAGAGAACGACTCTAAACTGCCATGTTTAACAACGTCCTCTGCAATGTGCTTTAAACTATGCACATTATAGATCAAGTGATCCCTACCGTAACAGTTTTCGTAACCTGATAAGTTGTTCACATAAACCCGAACACTGTTCGCGAATATGGTGTGCAACTTAGGGTGTGATAATAAATATACTGACAAGGACAGGCACTGGAAGTTTTTGTAAATTGCTGATGGTAACCTATCATGGAGAACTACAGAACTTAAGTATGATAAAAACAACCGACATTCTGTTGTTTTCCATACAGAAACTTCATATAATGAACGACATTTCATTTGAAAGTCGCATGTAGTATTATTTGTACATAATTCTAATGCCAAACTGATGAACAAGAAAATAGATTGGTCCATTCCATTAAATCGATTAATGGATAGATTCTTCCATAAGGAAATTGGTTTTTTAGTAAAACCTACATATATCATATGCATCGGTTCCGATGGAATGCATGTTATCACATCTAGTGGTAGACTTCCGAATACACTATAACCACGATGATGGATAGATTGTGACCCACAACGAAAACTGACATCACTTCTCAACTGGTGTTCACCATTGGGTAAAGTCACTCGACAACCCATTCATGTCCCTAAAGCATGACATTTGTCACAACCAGCGGTACCGTTGTGTCCAACAACGTTCCTGACGTAACTGCGAGCTGGAGTATCACAAATAACAGCAACTAATTTAACTGTAAAATGTACCTGACACATATCTACATAAATGCCTACTGTCAGCAATTCATTTAACTCAGTTATAAGTGCTGCGGACATGTAGATGAAATCAGATGGTTTTACTTCACCACCATAGATGACAACTTTGAACACAATACTAACTAATTCACCTATTATGCGACCTAAGGTCGGCCACAGCTGTTGGTTAGAGCTTATGAACTAACTCAGACCCTCGTAGTTCAATTGCAGCTTCGTTCCTGTGAACCTAGGTTGTCTTAGTAGAATAGTTAATACAGCATAAAATTGAAAACATGAGTCCGAGTGGTGAGCGTAGGAAGACAATCTACATCACAGATTGATTGACTTGTTCTCAAACATAAAGAGCCTGATACAAACAAAATGTTATGGCTCACAAATATGGGTGGATTGAAGTCATCACCCTCACCGTCAATGCTCGCTGGTCAGTAACTCCACCCTCCCTCCTTGAGTGACGTTAGGATCATTTAAGCTTATTTTTGAATATATGTCATACCTCACACAATTCTCTGTGTTTCGCATCCTGTTGGAAAACACTATTTCTATAAGTACCATTTTACAAGCTTATCAGGCAGTTACAAGTTATGGACTGTAAGGCATCGATGCAATGCTTTAATCCAAATGGTTCAAATGGTTGTGGACGGAATAGAAGAAGCTTTCGCTTAACATTCTTCCGTGTCCAGTAGCAGGGGATCACCAAATCCTCCAGGCCGGAACCTAGGTATGTTAAAAATAAAATAGGAAAATTCATTAGTAGCCAGTAGATAGAGTAGGAAAAATGAGTCAACAAGGCAAATATTGTTTTATAATAAACATCGAATTGTGGTTGGTGAACAAATCGGACATATTCATACAAGGTCAAGAAAAGTTAAATTAGTGGTGGGCGTTTCACTTTATTATTGGTGGGTTCGTTTATCAATCACATTTCACAGTGTCTTTTGCGGCTTAGCAAACGAACATTGATGTTCTTGAGGACTGAAGGTTGCCTGTAGATTATGGGTACTATTTGATGAACAGGCTTCTTTGTAACACATGACCCAGACAACCCAAAAAGGGGAAATAAAGGGGAACAAAGGGGAAATAAAGGAGTAAATGCGTTGTTGGCGAAAGGGGAAATAAAGGAGAAAACGAAAAAGACCTTGGTAAGCTATATTACATCGCGACACAAGGTTACTTTCACGATATCCGAGACAAGATGATAAAGCGTAATAGAAGAAAACAAGATCAGGTATGTACTAATTTAAAGTGATAACTTACCTACGTTCTATAGTTACAGTCAACAATAATAACGAATATAATCGTAAGTTCAGCTTTAAGTATTTAGCTGTGCCAAAGCATATCATTGAGATATGGTTGTGATTGTTTTTCTTTTTTTAATTCAGAATTCACAGGACGACTACCTCAATTATCAATGGTCCGTGCAATTGTTTTAATGTTCTACCTCGATTTCAATAAACATTATTCTTTCAAACAGCTTACTCTTTTACTTACATGGGAAACTGTCGAAGTTTTGAGAATGTGTGTTTGAGTGTCAGTTAACTTTTGATTAAATGCACATTTCTTATAAATAAAACATAACCTGTTCCTTCTTTTTCAGATAATTTCAAATAACAATGAATTAGCGATTGCATTGGATATGCAAAACAATCGATGCTTAAGATTCTGCTCTAGTGTTGTACAGTAAATCGCTTTTCAATTTAAATAAAAATTTTAAAAAATTTACCGCTTTTCCACTGTATTGCAGATACATTTTGGACTGTTGTTGAAAATAAAGGCGAATATAAGAGACATATGGGGTTCTGTCGATGGATGGAAAATAGGAGGTAATGTGTGTACTTTGGAGAAAAGTAGATAATTAAGCGCATGAGTACGCATTTCCGCGAAAATTTAGGTGAAAATTTGAAAATTCAGCGGATATTTAAGCGAAAATGCGACA